AATCTCTTAATCTATAATCTTCTTCTGCCTTCCAAGGGTTCTTAGAATGTATTTTTTTTATTTCGCTTTTCAATCGCAGCTATTTGTTCCCGCTCTTCTGATTTTGATTAAAAGATCGATATTTATACTTTCCAAAATTCAACTCTCACGTCATGACAATAAGAGTATCATGTCGTGAGAAACATAATAATCCCCGTATACACCAAGGAATCTATGCAAGTCTGTAGATGATTCTTTTGTTGACACGTGGTCACGTCGTGACTAAGAGATGGTCACGTCGTGAAAAGGGTTTAATGCAAGGATCGAGAAGATTCTTTATGCCACGCCGTGGGAATCAAATGTCCACAAGGTGGGAACTTCCATTTTCTTGATTTATTCTTCCTTCTTCTCCTAATTTCAGCTCCATTTCTCCAAGTATCCAACTTTCTTCAATTTCAATCATTTTTCTTGAGAATGTCATTTTTGGCTGCAAAATAGAATTCAAACATTATAAATACCAAATATCTTTGCATTTCACCAAAATATAGCTCAAATGTATTAAAATAGTATATATATATATATATATATATATATATATATATATATATATATATATATATATATATAATATATATATATATATATATATGGAGTATGGACAAAATCATTAAAAACTTCAAAAGAAATACCAAAATTTCAATATGATTCCTTTAGGAACCAAAATAAAAAAATGTACTAACTGATGGATCAAAGTTGTAAAACTTAAATTGATTTGCTTTTAAACGTGTTTCAAGATTATACACTGTCTAGATTTAAAAAAAAAAATACAAAATTCTAAGTGTCTGATCCTCCTTAAAGTTAGCTAGTTAGTACCTATCGAGATCCCGGCTTAATAGAAAAAATCGGGGGTTTTAGTTGCAATCTAGAACTCGTTGACAAATAATGGAATATCTTGTTTGCATATTCCTATTCGTTTTCTAATTCTCACTCTATAAATATATATCTTGGTTAATCTCTAAAGAAAGAGTGTGGTGCGTAGGGTAAAATGGGTGTCTACCGGTGCTCTGTTTTTGCATATGTTCTTGGTGTTTTGGTGTTCGCATGTACTCTGTATGTTGATGGTGGATCAACCAGCAGTTTTGTAAGAAAAGTTGAAAAAACTATTGATATGCCTCTCGATGCCGATGTCTTCATCACGCCTCCTGGCTATAATGCGCCTCAACAGGTCTGGTTTTTATATCATATTTTCTTTCTTCTTCTTTCTCATTTGCCATCTTCATAGGTTTCACCGTTTTAGAATCTGGTTTTTTTTTCTTTATTTTTTTTTGTAAAAGATTTCTGTGATTAATATCGATGGGTTTTTATCAATTTTCAAAACCCATTTTGTAAAAACAATATTTCTTTGTTATTTTGTATTGATTTAAGGAATCCATTTGTAATTTTCTCAGATTTTGCGATACATCTTGATAACCCTTTCTGCAAATTTTCTTTTATTTTTAATTTTTGAAATAAGTCTTGATGGGTTTTAGACTTTTAATAATCCACATGCAGTTTTCATTGATGGGTTTTGTTCTTTTGTGGTTTCTATTAATTTTGGGTTTGAAAAATTAGGAGCCAACTCGGCCGGCATGAATCTTGTGAACCGGTTGAATAATTATGTATACCCAAAAAAAAAAAAAAAAAAAACTATCTTTATAATTATCTTTTTCTTGCTTTTTTTTTAATATAATTTTTTTTTGTCTTTTTAGGTTCATATTACACAAGGCGATCATGTTGGAAAAGCGATGCTTGTAACATGGGTGACAATGGATGAACCCGGTTCAAATACTGTTATCTATTGGCCTCAAAACAGCAAAAAAAAGAGAAAAGCCGAAGGCATGCTTACTAAATACTCATTCTTCAATTACACTTCTGGTTTCATCCACCATTGCAATCTCACTCATTTGAGGGTAATTTTTTCAACAAAATTCTAAACTTTTATAATGATTTTTATGGCAAATATCACAAAAAAAAACATTATATTTTTAGTTTTATTTGAATAATTAATTATTATTATATTATTAAATAAAAGACTGAAAATATAATAGTAAAAACTTTGAAATCCAGTCAAAATTTGACCAACTGTTTTCGGATGAATATGGCAGCATGATACGAAATACTTCTACTCTGTTGGGCTAGACCACACAAAACGGACTTTCTGGTTCACCACTCCACCCGAAGTTGGACCCGATGTTCCTTACACTTTCGGCCTAATTGGTATTGTGTTTCTTTACAGAATTTCTACGATGAAACTTGAAAAAGATGGAATTTGATTCGTGTTTTTGTGTTATAATTTGCAGGGGATTTGGGGCAGAGTTATGATTCGAACATTACACTTACGCATTATGAGATGAATCCAACGAAAGGTGAAACTGTGTTGTTTGTCGGAGACCTTTCGTACGCTGATAACTATCCGAATCACGATAACCGGAGATGGGATTCGTGGGGAAGGTTTACGGAGAGAAGTACGGCGTATCAACCGTGGATTTGGACTGCCGGAAATCATGAAATCGATTTTGTTCCTGAAATCGTAAGTTTTTTTCCCCCTTTATGTGAAAGATCGCGTTATTAATTTATGAAATTGATGTTGATTAAATTGTGCATTTGAAATTAAAAAAAAAAAAAAATTTAACTAGTTTGGTGTAATATTATCCACTACCTTCTTTCTCATCTCAATTTGACTTCTAAGGTCATTAAAAGATTTTCAAAATTCGAAATTGAGATTTGATTTTATCCCAAATTCCAAACAAAATTCTGTCCTATGAGTATTATTTCAGTACATTGCACTTATTTGTCAAATTATTTCCAAAATTGTACACAAGACAAATTCATTTGACTCCAAAAGTCAAAGTCCACATTGTTGACCTTTTTAAAATCTCAATTCCATGTTTGATAAATATTTTGTAGGGAGAGGATGAACCTTTCAAGCCTTACACTCACCGGTATCCTGTCCCTTATAAATCATCACAAAGCACCGCTCCTTTTTGGTACTCCATCAAGAGAGCTTCATCTTACATCATTATTTTGGCTTCATATTCCGCATATGGTAACACCCCAAAATTCCATATTTACTTTCATCAATTATATTAAATCATAAAAATGCAATATATTTGAAATTCAACATATTTTGATGTAGGTAAATACACCCCTCAATACAAATGGCTCGAACAAGAACTACCAAAAGTCAACCGAACCGAGACTCCATGGTTGATTGTTGTAATGCACTCTCCATGGTATAATAGCTACAATTATCACTACATGGAAGGTGAAACCATGAGGGTTATGTATGAACCATGGTTTATTAAATATAAAGTTGATGTTGTGTTTGCGGGCCATGTTCATGCCTATGAACGCTCGGTAAGTCATCTTTTATATCTGTATTATAGCATCATACTTTCATTTCTTTGTATTACAACATTGTACTTATTAAAACATTCTACTTTGAAAAATCTACCCAATTATTAACAAGACGTTATGTTTTAATTCGGTAGATTTTTTGAAGTACAATGGTAATGTAACATGAAAAAAAAAGTAGGGTGTTATAATAAAAAAAATCAATGAAAATATGTTGCTCTTTTTTGCATATAATAAACAAATAGATGACATTGCTATATATAATAACATTTGTTTTTGCATTTGTGTAGGAACGTATATCGAACGTTGCTTACAACATTGTCAATGGTATCTGCAAACCTATAAAAGACCAATCCGCCCCCGTGTACATAACCATTGGAGATGGAGGAAACCTCGAGGGTTTAGCAACCAAGTAATGTTTTTCTAAAGTTTATATAATACATATAAATATTTGATACTTTTATTAAAAAAATATAACTTATGATTTTATTTTATTGTGATGTAGCATGACTGAGCCACAACCAGATTATTCAGCATTTAGGGAAGCTAGTTTTGGGCATGCTACTTTTGACATCAAGAACAGAACGCATGCATACTATGCTTGGCATAGGAATCAAGATGGATATTCAGTGACGGCTGATACGATGTGGTTTTTCAACAGATATTGGAATGCGAAAGATGAATCGATAACTAGTGCTTAAATGCCAAAAAGATTTTTTGTTTATGCAAAAACAAAACTCTATTTATTATGCATTCGTAGGTGAGATTTAGATTTTTTTTTTTCTTTTTGTTGGTAATTTAGATCGTGTTCTTTTTTTATATGTGTGAAAAAAATAATGAAAACATTGATTAGGTTTTCAAGTTTCATTTTATTTGAGCAATTGTGGTAGGTGGACTAAAAAGTTTTCGTTGTTTACTTTAAGAAATGTATACTCTAATATCTATATTTGACAACTAGCTTTTACAAACTTATATTTTAGCATTTAAAAAAAAAATGAATTAAAGAAAAAGGTCCGTTCGAAAGTATGAATTTAAAACTTTTATTTTAAACAAAAAAGTTTAGGAATTTTGGGTTTTATGTTTTATGTAAATATTTCGTTGTTTTTGTTGAAAGTATAGAGTTTAGTTTTTTTTTTTTTTTTTTTTTTTTTATCTACATAAACTTTTGATAATAGAAGACTTCTTTTTAGAGAGAAAAGTAGGTTATTTTTTTATTCTATGAAAACGTTTATTAACAATTGATTTAATTTCGAGCCATTTTAATTTTTTTGAGATACAATATTGTCGAAGTGATAATTATGTCGGTTAATTTTACAGAAAATTACAAAATTAGTCCTAGAGGTTTGTTGTTTTCTTTGGCTTTTGTCAGGATAATCTAAAAGTTGTAAATTTTGTCTTTTGAGTAGTGTGTGGATTTGATTCCCATCAAACTTGAAATGACTATAATCCATAATATATATTTTTCAATTCTTAATTAATTGTAATGTTTTATTACTAATAAAAGAGAAACAGTCCCACATACATAATAAATTAAATTCCACAAACTTTATTTACTAGTATTTACACCATCAAATTCAAATTTCAAGCTTTAACGTTGTACTCTGAGCATGAATTCCATCACAACATGTTTAATGGAGGTCTTTTCCAAGTTTCTCATTCTTCCTGCATTCTTCTTCTTCTTCATCAGCATGTAAATCATCATCAATTGTAATTGCAACTAACTTCATGCCATTTGGACCTTGCAAAACATTCTCAGTCACCTTCAAATGCTCATCGAGATGCACAATTTCACCTTTTTCAGCCATCTTGCTGCATTTAGACTTTTTTAGGATGTAACATAAAGCAAATAAGGGGAGTGCTAAGAAGAAAACACAGCCAAACGACACAAAAACAACGAATATGACTGTCATTGTTGAATTTCTCAATTTCTTTGATGAGATTGATTAAAATTTGTGGGTTTTTGAGAAGAGTTTGATGTGAAAAAAAGAAGATTGAAGGTTGATTATTTGTAGTAGAGAAGGGTGTGGGTATTGTTTTGGAAGAGCACATGACTTCAAAGTTTCAAGAAACTTGACTTGACTCTAATATTAAGCAAGTTGGTTTGTTGTATTGTAAAACACTTCTGAAGATCTGGATGTGGATTCACTTATTTTTTTTTATTATTTATTGTCACCATGGACATTACAAGGATAATGTTCTAATTATAGCATCCATAAGACATAGCTTAATAGAATATAGAATGGTTTAAAAAGTATGTTCTATTGAGAGGCTAATATATCAAGATAACCAAATTTTTAACTCATATTACAAAATATCAAGGCTAATATATCAAGATTACCACATTTTCAACTCATACTACAAAGTATCCATTGCACACAAGATTAAAGAATCCGTGATCTCAATAATTGTTTCAACTCATATTACAAAATATCCATTGCACACAAGATTAAAGAATCCGTGATTTCAATAAATGTTTCCACTCATATTACAAAATATCCATGCACACAAGATTAAAGCATTCGTGATCTCAATTGATAGTCCCACTTTATAAATAAAATAACTTGAGCTCATTAGAACAATCATACGGTTTCACACATTCCATTTAAGACTCTAAAAAATTTCAATATTCCAATAAGGTGTTCGAGTTTAACAACAAAATAACATCACTAACAACTAAGTGTTCACTTCTTCACTCAAATTTTACCAACTTGTGAACCGTCATGTTAAAATATGCAATCCACGAAGATAAAATTGTTTTGCGAAGTGCTGTTTTTCCATATTATCTCATCACATTCTTTTAATTTTCACGGTTACATCACGAAGTAAGTTTGTGTTCCTACTTTTCTTAATTAGACTTTACTTTATATTTTCCTAATTATACATCACAAAGTTTAATCGAACTAGTATTTTGTATTTATCTTTGATTTTTACACTACAAGAAATACACTCATTACCTGCGACACCTTTAGCGGCGACACTTTCGAGTGTCGCTGCTAAAGGTGTCCAGTAACACTGGTAACCACGATCATTGTGAGTGTTTTTGGACGAACCCCAACCGTTGATTAATGTCGTCGATCTAATGGTTGGAAATCAATTGATCATCGCAAAAAGGCAATAGCAGCGACGAGTGTCGATGTGTACATTTTCCCCTGATTAATTCAGTTGTTACCACTAATACTTGTGTGTCGCTGCTAAAGGTGTTTGCAGTAGTGAGGGAGCGTGAAGACTTCCAAGAAATGGGATTAGAACCCAAATCGATAATATATGTAGTGGTTGAAGGGCTATTATAACGATTTCCTCACAAATATGAGTCACTAAAGGCATTTATTCTAAATGTAGCAACTTTATAAAGAAAAAGACCATTATGGATTATACTCATTAAATAACATATAACACATTTGAGTGAAGTCCAATATAATTCGGTTGGGGAATGTATTAACTAGGAGATGTGGTTTTACTACAAGTGAGACATCATGGCGCACCAAGGAGAGATAATGGAGACTTCCAACAATTTTTTTGTAAGGATTGTATCAATAGGATTAGATCCATCTTTAAGAAGTAACGAAGTCATATAACACATTAGCTTTGGTCATAGAGAAAGTGTCTAGGAGATCATTGATGTGATGATGTTGAGAGAGAAAAAGACCAGAAGTGGTGTGAATAACTTCAATACCCAAAATTGATGCAACTCCACAAGATCCTTCAATGAAAACAAACGACCATTCGACCAAGTTGGAGTATGAAAGAGTTTAGGAACTAGTTGTCATTTCAGGTAATGACAATGTCATCGACATAGATAAGAAAATAGACAAACTCCACTTTTGTTGTAAATAAAGAATGAAGAACCAGCCATGGAGTTTGTAAACCCACAACGAAGAAGGAAGCTTTTAAGTTATTGATAACATGTTTTAGGACATGAAGTGCTTTCTTTAACTTATAGTAATGATTATGTAACATCTTAAAAATAACTATACTTGAGTTAATTGATTTATGGCCTAAAAAAATTTGTAACATTTTTAAGAGACATAATTGGGCTTTGTCATGAAATAAAGAAAACACTATTGGGCTTTCGTGATAAAGAAACTAGTTTATATATTTTCTAGTTTATAAAACGAAAATAAACATATATTTTGTTAATTGTAGTTTTTATTATATATAAAAAAAGATTTATGATATGTTTGTATTTGTAATAAAAACCATTATCTAAAAAAAATGGGGTTTATGTCAAATTAATTAATACATATGTATCAATCAAAATATGATATAAAATATAATAATGAAAAAAAAAAGGACGTGCATTGTATGTGAGGTGGTATGAACTTGGTCTACAAGTAAAATAACAACGTTGATCAAAGAAAAGCTTTCCATACATTTACATTGGTGTAAAAAATTATGAAGGTTACGTGTTAATATTAAGGTTATGTGTCAATAATCAAGGACCGACTAACGTTTTTCTAATGTACGGTATCATTATCATGATTCACAAATTTATCTATAATTATCGACATTTCCATAAATTTTTATTTATTCATTTCTGTTAGTATATTCGTATATTTATGTATATTGTTGTAAGCCCATTATTATGGGCCATAGTCTTTTGTATTTTGTATACTCTTTATATTTTGGTTTATTGGGCATTATTCTAGAAATGAAAATTATGTTTCATAATATGGTATCAAAGCCTGTATCTTATTTCTCTCTAAAAATCCTTGCTGTCTGCTTCTTTTTCCGGCGCTTTCTTCCCAATTTTTTTCTTCTTCCACCTTTCTCTTCTAATGGCTACCGACAAACCTTACGGGATCACCAACATCCGTTCGTCTGTCTCGTTGATCCTTGGACAACCTCAACTATAACGCATGGAGAGAACTATTCTCCACTCACTATGCCGGTTATGGAGTCTCCAAGCACTTGACGTCTCCGGTCAAAACCCCCACCATCGTGACAGATGTCGAATGTTCTCGCATGGACAACATTGTTAAATCTTGGATTTATGGCACGTTGTCTCAAAACCTTCTCAATACGATCCTCAAACCGAATGCTTACGCTCACAATGTTTGAACTACTCTCGAGCAGTTGTTCCGTGATAATAAAGACTCCAAGGCATTCCAACTCGATAGTGAACTTCGTACTATCACCTTGGGAGACTCCTCTGCCACCGCCTATTGCACTCGAATCAAAACTCTAGCCGACTTGTTGGAGAATCTTGATGCCAAAGTTCCAGACATGAACCTGGTCATGTATACGGTAAACGGATTGTCTTCAAAGTTTGATTATGTCGCAACTTTTATACGCTACAAAACCCCGACACCCACGTTTATTGAAACTCACTCCATGTTACTTGTTGAGGAGCAAACAATGAAGTCGTTTCATCCAGTTCCATCATCTCACTCGGATCACTCCTCCTCACCAACTCTACTTTTTCACCGACTCTCGAGGAAACTCCGGTAACAATCGTGGTGGCCATTCTAGTTGTGGTGGAGGAAACAAGCAACAATATCGACCACCTGTTGATAACTGTAGTGGTGAAGTCCGACATCACCCAGCCTCCGATCCTTGGGCTCCTCTTGTAGGCTACACTTGGGCTTTAGTCCCTTCTGGATCTGCATCCTACCCTAACGAAATGCTACCTACTCCTCAGTCAGCCCAACACATCAATTCTACCCAACAATAGCAACAGTGGAGATTAATCTCCTAGTCGGCCCAACATCATCAGGCCCATATGACTGTTTAGCCCAACTCACAGCCACATGCCCAATCTTGGTCTGATTCTTCTTCCAACGCTCCTGTCGATCAAGCTACATAAATACCTCAGTTTTTTAGTGTCATGAGCATGAGTGATCCGGCTAATGGTGGTTGGTTCATGGACATGGGTGCCACAACGCATATCCATGCAAACGAAGGTATATTAAATTCTTCTACTTCAAAATGCAATACATGTTTTGTCATAGTTCGTAACAGATCATCTATAAATGTTACTAAGACCGGGTCCTCTAGTATTTGCACTATTGATCCATACCGTACTCTTCATGTAACATCCCAATTTTCAAGGCCAAAAATTTTGTTTTTAAATTAAGTCACTTATAAATAGTTTACTGAAAAACATCATCGATATCATATCAACTCATAATCTCATAAGTCAAATGTCATAAAACATGTCGTGGAGTAATAATAATGTCAGAGTACAATCCCATGGATCTCAAAATGCGGAAATCATATGTGTGTGTGACGCGCTGATACCGTGACAGCTTCTTCCCCTTCGCTGAAGAGGTACCTGAAAACAAAACTGAAAATTGTAATCATGAAGCTTAGTGAGTTCCCCCATCATACCACATACCATATCGCAAACATACTGTCAGATAATCTTGGGGTGCCCGCCCTACCCAGTCGGGCAATTCTGGGGTGCCCGACCTACCCATGTCAAGCAATTCTGGGGTGCTTGACCTACCCTGCCAGGCAATTCTGGGGTGCCTGACCTACCCATGTCAAGCAATTCTGGGGTGCTTGACCTACCCTCCGGTTTATCTCAACCGGCTACGGGGACTATTTCACCCCTACCACTACCACATAACAACATAACAAAACATACTGTCAGGCATATCTGGGGTGCCCGACCTACCCTTCTGTGACATCCCCATTTTCACGGCCAGAAAAGACCGATTTGTTTATGCTTTATTTTGAAAATTAGAGTATCTTTTAAAGAAATGTGTTGCGGAATTTGTTCCCAGAAAAACATGATAAATACGTTATCAAATCATTTCCGAAGAAATGTATTCTATTCATTTTAAAACATTGAGATGTCATCGTCAATACAGAAACATAAGCATAAACAGAACTTACATTCATTATCACTAGTGATTTATATCTCCTTAATCTCTCAGTGTAACGAAACTTCATATCGACACCTGTGATT